ACACAACATTAGTGATTTATGTAACAAATTTGTTTAGTTGGACTAAATTATAAATACTTAGTTTAATTAAATAATTAGTCACTTACGAGTAATTCTAAAATAGTCGAGCTCGAACTACTGATATTTAAGTTTGAGCTTGAATCTTTATTAGCTCGACTCATTAGCTAATGAGTTAACTTGAACCTTTATGAGCCGAGCTAACTTAGTAATTCGGAAAATTACGGAAAAGTTCATATTTTTTGAGCCTGAAGAGCCAATTCATTAATTGAATGAGTTGTTAAATGATGTTGAGTTCAACTCATTTCTCAGACGAGTCGAACCCACACAAATCAGTTAGATAGCCCTATTTACGAGTATAATCGTCTACTATTTTGTCCAAATTATACATCAAACTCTCAATTATAGTGGACACAAGGAAAATTGGGTGTGCTTTGACAAATTTTATTTTATTTTATGTGATATGAAATAATATATTGGTTGGGCCTTTAGTATACAGAGACTTTAAAACAAAAAATTAAGCAAGATGTAAATATCATTGAGGCCGGACCTTACACTGGGCTCATAAGTGATGAAAGCCCAAACGAATATTCTGGGCTTATAATGTATCCCATTTCCAAAACCTTTGGGCTTTTCTACTTTTCTGTGCATTAAGAACTCTGTAGTCTGCACATTCTTATATAGCCCAGTGTCATATCATTTTTCTGTTACAATTTTAAACAAAATGGAAAAATAAAAAATTGCTTAGGTTCTATCAGTTTTGCTACAATTATTAAGATCTTGTTACAATTATTGTTATATCACAAAGATCTTGGACCATGAACATAATTAATGTACGTACATCTGCAGCATTAATTGGCTAGAAATAATGGTCCATGTCTTCATAACATTTGGGAATATTATTATTATTTTTCAAATACTTAGTACGAAAATTAAAAGGACCACACATACATAAATATAAAGTTCTGCATACCTTCTTATAAATTGCAGAATAATTTAGTTACACTTTTCACCAATTGAGAATTTGAAATTGGTGACCACAACAAAATAATTGAAGAGTACTCGTGTCTATTTTTGTACATATGCACTCAGGTCTCAGAAAGCTTTTGATTATTCAAAGCAACATAGACCAAGTTGTGTTGACTGTGTTTTGTATAATTTTTTTTAACTCTATTCGTTTGTTAAATTATTTATTTTACATTATACAAAATGCAACGTATAATTAAACGTAGTTCTTTTTGTAATATGCATGAAACATATCTGACACCATTCACTGCTGCCTAATTTCAAAATTTCTCAATTAATAAGCTCATCAAGAAATTACAAACCTAGCAAGATTAAATAGAAAATGATTTATTAGTCTTCTCGAATTCATGCTGGTGCAAATGGGGAATTGAAGGTGTCTTTACCTACTTCCGTTTGACCATTATCGTGTAACAACACATTGTTTTGTTTCTTTTGACCAATGACTTCTATGAGTAGTTGATATACATAAAATATTTTGTAGAATTAATTAACACTTTGATCTAATAAACACATTCACATATTTTAAGTTTTAATATTTAAATTATTTGGATTTGTTATGTATATGAAATGCAAATCATTTATTATTTAAAATATACAATAATATATTTTGTCGCACCTAGCGTCAACACGGTTTTCTGTTCTCGAGCGCGGTTGAGAGTATCATGCCTCAATTCATCTCAGCGGCCGTGCTATCGACGGTGGGGTGATGGAGAAGGTGGCTTTTGTTCTCCTATTTGTCGTCTCGTGAGGGTCGCTCGAAAGGAAGGTAGGATTAGGTTCGTTTTTCTCAGATCTGCGTAGCCAATAGCTGTCAGGAGTGTTGGAGGGTCCGGATCCTTAATTCTTGCTTTCGTGGTCCAATTCCTTTTTAGATGGTCGTTTGGGGTGTCGGTTCTTAGTAGCTGTAGAAGCGTCGTGCTCGTTGGTTGTCGAGAAAGGCTTTGTTCTTTTAAGTAAATTGTGTTTCTTGGGTGTTTGTGTGCCGTTTGTTTGCCCCCTAATTAGGCTTTTTGTTTGTGTGCGTGTTTTTTTTTTTATTAGGTTGTTATGACCAAGTTTTTGTGTTTGGATGTTAGCGAATTGATGTAAAACTAGCACATTAAACTTACTTTCGATATTTTATCTGTCAAATCCACTTAACTAGTTTAGTAACTTGTTTGGTAAATAACTTATTTGATTGGCGCCTTGATCGAAAATGCTAGTTTTGAAAAAGTTCAATAAAAGAGCATTTTGAGAAACGCAGATTCGTAGATTAACATGTCAACACAAAAATTTCATATTAAGTATACAAATCGTTATTTACAAACTAGTTATTTACAAACCGCGCATTGAACAATCTGTTAGTCAAATCAATTATTACAATCCACTATCAGCTATTCACTATCCACTAATACAATCAATCATCTACTATTCGATATCAACTAATAGTCAAAACAAGATAAAGAACCCCCTGATTATTCATGAAAAACTCATATACCAAACAAACTTATAATTCCAATTCAATAAGACTATTGTTAGGCAGACATAACGGTTGGACAATCACACTTTTTTTTATCGAATTTACATACTTTCAAATCAAAATGAGGTCTCTAATAATAACATGAACACAACTATGCATTTTTATGAAAAAAACATAAAATAAAAAATGACAGAACGACCCACTTAACAACTAGGATATCCTATACAAGAATTTGCATTTCTAATTTCATCTCATCTCACTTATGGTCACCCTGCAAAACCATTACATGACATTTACTAGAAGCCCTACTTCCACTTATGTGTTTGTTTATTACTCAATTTAACTATTTTTTATTTATTTATTGCTATTCGGGTGTCTCATTGCGTGCCAATCATCATCTCGTATATTCTGACTATCGTATCATGTCGTGTTCGAATTTCGTGTTGCGTTAATGAATTTCGTGTTGCGTTAATTCATTATGGCACCCACACAGCCCCATACTCCAACCATCCCTTTTCTCTCTTGTGGAACATACCCTTCCACTTTCTACACAGCTTGTATTATAAAAACAATATGCTCCAAAATTCAAATTCCTCACAGGAACACACAAATTTTTATTTTTTTTTCTTTTTTATGCTCCATAGGGGGCCAACTCACATTCTGATGCCATTTTTTCCCTTTTAATTTATTTTTCCACTGTCTTGTTGTTTTCAGACCCCCTTTTCACCCCCACATGTCCACCCATGCATCTCTACTGTGGTTTTGTAGTATTCCTCTTTACCCACCTACAGTTATTCTTAGCTTCTTTACAACCTCACAAAACACCCCCAAAACACCATTAGATTACACACTCCATAACTTTGAACCTCTTTTTTTCATAAAAAAATATCTTCAGTTCTCTGTAGATTGTAACAGCATTGCTATTTNNNCTTTCATATGAAGAGTAGTACTGTTTAATATTGCTGCTTTTATTGTGTTGCTCTGAAACAATGTAGAGATTTTAATTAAAGAGTGAAAAGAGAAAAAAGAAGAAAAGATGCAGGCCTAGCTAGCTATGAGTATGACTTTATTTATCTCATCATCATTAAATCCCACTGCCCTTTTTGCCCTTTTTTTCTTCCTCTCCTTTTCTTGCTGCTTGAGCCATGATCAACCACCAGACACTACTTACAGGGTATGCATGTATATGTATAATGTATGTATGTTAATGAATGTATTTATGTATGCACAATATTGCTATTTTCAGAAATTAGCCATTTTCAATTTCAGTCACGCATTTTCACAAACACCTGGTGCGCATGGCTAAACCGCCCCAAATTATCAATCGCAGTATCAATTTATTTTTTTTTATTGGTTTTTGATTTGATGGGTTGTTGCAGTCGCAGTATCAATTTTTTTTTTTTATTGGTTTTTGATTTGATGGGTTGTTGCAGGGTTTGGTAGTGGCGGCTGAGAAAGCGAGGCTGGGCTCGACGCCGCCGAGCTGCCACAACAAGTGCAACCAGTGCCACCCGTGCATGGCGGTCCAGGTGCCCACCATGCCGGGCCACGACCGGGTCGAACCGGGCCGAGAAGAGCCGGCCTATTATTTCGACGCCCCGCCGGCGCCGCCGTCTTCCGCCGGGAACAGGTACTCCAATTACAAGCCGCTCGGGTGGAAATGCAGATGCGACGGCCATTTTTACAACCCCTGAATATTTCAAAGTCAATAGTGTGTAATCATTAACTGCCATCAGATTATTATTTTCCTCCTTTTTTTTTGGGTTAAATATTACTCAAGTTATGTAGTTGTAGATTTTATTTACAGAAATTTAAATAAAAATTAGGGGTGTCAGTATTTATTTATTTATTTATTTTTGTAGGGGCCCTGAGAATTATTATTTATGGGGTTAATTAGAAAGACAAAATGTGTAATTAATTTGTATTTAAATAACTGGTGAGTAGATCTGTAGCGGGAAAAAATTATTTTTGTGTACCTATAGCTGTTTTTCTCTTTTGTAGTACAAGTTCCAATCTAAACAATTATGGTAACTAGTATTATGACGCTTAATTAATGTTAAATTATGTTTGAAAAAATCAATTGAAAACTAGTTGATAAATAGTGTATGAATGTGTTTGGTAATACCATAAGTTAATTGATGTTATTACTTAATTTTATAAGCTTTATGTATTCAAATAATTTTAAGTTGGTTTGATGAATTCTTTAAAGAAAAACCCAAGTTCCTTATATAACTTTTCATAAAAGTTAATTGAATTTGTTATTTCATCCAACTTATCAACTAATATTACTAAACGTTACTATTATATATATGTCACCTATTTTTTCAGCCATCAACCATAAATTATCATTTTAATTACAATTATTTATTGTACATTATAACTTAACTTATATTCTATTTAGTTAGCTTTATTAAATATACTTATTAAGCCTGAAAGTAACTTAAGAGTTTTAATTTAATTTATCAGTTATCAATTAAGTTTACTCCTAGCTTTACAAAAAAAATTACGCTACAAGTGAAATTTGAATTAGTTTTAAGGTTTACGGTTGAAAAACAGTCTGATAGAGTGAAATTATTGTTAAAATTAATTGATAAGCCAATTATTATAAAATTCAATAGACTTATTTGAAAATGTACCTAGACTAGGTTACGAGATAAAAAAAATCATCATATCAAACTGACTATAATTTAAATACAAAATATGAAAAAACTCATAAACTAATTTATAATAATTATAAAAAGAGTAATAATACAGACCCAACTTGAATGAACTTGGGTTACAACTCAAGTGTACATACAATATTTTTTAATTTTTTTATAATATATTTATACTTGAGTTGTAACTCAAGTTGTCATCCAAGTAGGTTAAGTAGCATTACTCAACATAAATAACGCCTCAAGTTCTCCGTGAAAAACAATTTCCGTTAAAGGAAGCTGGTCAAAGCCGCCGGAAAATTTAGGATAGTCAGAAAAACATAGAGTAAAAACATCCAAAAAGAAATTAAGAAATTGGAGATTTAATTATTACATATGTAGTTAAATTTTTTTTGTAAAAATAAAAATAAAAAAATTGTGGTGTCGTTTGTTGTAATTAATTGTACTTAAAATACTTGTGTGCAAATTTATAGACGTCAAAACCTATACTGACTACTCATCAGGGTATAGAAGCTGGTACTGTACTGAATTTGGTAGTTGCTAAAATTTACTGGCAATAAATAAAAAGAATTGACAGTGTAAGAAATTAAATGAACGAAAAAAATAAATAAAATGTAATTTTTTTGTATTAATTAATGTTTGAGGTGACAGATGTAGACTTTATGATATTTTATAATTCATTTATGTTGTCCTTTCTTATCATCTCGGGATTTTCACGTGTCCTATATGCTTGTCAATTTTTGGCTAGTGGTATCAATTTCTGATCAGTTTTGAATTGCTATATATAGGTATGGATTTTTGTGTTTTACTGTATCGTTCGAAATTTATATTGTGAGTGATCATATTTATTATGATGTCTTGGTGATTATGTAAGGTGAAAAACGTGAGTGCAGTCGACAAAAATTTGGGGAAGAAGGTGATAGAAGAAGAAAAGAAGATGAGAGAAAAAGATTACGCAAAACTTTGATAGAAGTCTTTTTTTTTTTCTTGAGTAAATAAAAAGGAAAATTAGACTGACACATTAAGGAGTGCCAACGCGATGGAAAATAGACGGAAGAATGAGCATTATTGAATTATTAATTCTGTTTATTTTTTTATTTTTTTTGTAGATTCTTGTTTGTTTTATTTATTATTATACAATTTATTAAACATGCATATTCATATTTTGTAATTGTATTTTATTATTTTTCCATTACACCATCTTTAAAAAAAATGTTTCGTCGAAATAAATTTGTTTGAAGATTAATAAATATAAGTTTAAAAAATGGCACGTCAAAGAAATAGATTTGTTTGATGGTTAATAAATATGATTTAAAAAAAATGTAAATAAAGCTAGATGATTAAATTTAATTTAATATAAAATAATAAAATATTAATTGATACACCTGTTGATAATCAAAAGTATACAAATAGACGTGTGTGTATATATATTTAAAATATATAATAAGTACATTAATATCCGTGTATTACACGAGTGTTGAATTAGAAAGCTTTTGTAAAATTTTTTACAAATATGGTGATATGTACATGCATAAGTGTAGAATATGTTTATTTAATATTAAGCAAAATAGATTAATTTTTTTACTTAATTAGATGCCTAGTACATCAAGTTTCGTATCAGTCGTGCTTTACAGTTTTTTTTTAACTTTATATGTAATTTTAGAATTTATGTAAATAATTATTTATTTTTATTACATTGACAACGTACTAATTAGATTTGAAATAAATATTATTTTTAAAATAATACATACCAATTTCTATTACTCTATAATATAATTTATAGTTTTATTTGATATAATTTAATTTAGTTTGATAAATAAATTTTTATTTTATTTATAAGGATAGATATTACTGTTTTGTATTATATATATATATATATATATATATAAAATACAAACGGACTTCATAATATCAATTCAAATGCAACACACTAATTAAGATTTTTTTTTCTTGACAATATTAACCCTATTTAATGGATGTTATGGGAAACGATGGAGATGGGATATGAGTGTATCAGATGGATGGTTAAAAATGGAAAAATATGAACAAAATATCTAACGACATTTATTTTATCAAGGATCAATTAAGTCAAAGTGACAAATGATAAAAATAGGAGAGAATATATATTATTATTTATTTTAGTATGACACATGTTACTTGTGCGACTTATATGTGTTATATTATAATAAATTTTCTACCTTATAACATATTACTATATTAAACATTCTAATTAATTTTAATAAATATTTTTTTATTATTATAAAGATAAATATAATTTATTTATTTTATATATACAATATGGATGTCAAATCGAATCTCATCAAAAGATAATTAATTTGATATATTATATATGTAAAAGCGATAAGAAATACAAAAGTTATCAACTTTTAAAATATATTTTCAATTTAATAATTTATAATAGGAAACGATATTAAAATACAATTAAATATAAATATTAATTTATATCCAAGCCTAACTCCAAACATGATTTTTTGCCAAATAGGATTTCGAAGCATTAGAGTTTGTCACGTAGGCTCAGCGCATTCTGAAATTATATATAGAGATGATTACTTTTATTTTTAATTGTGTTAATGTAGAGAAAAAAACTGTGTGACCAATTTTTTTTGTGTTACTTTTATTTTGTTCTCAATTTCAACGAACAAGATTTAATTGGACAAAAATAATTAAAAAAATTATATCCAATCACATCTTGAAAGCAAATCTGGGCTTTTTAAGTAAATCATGGGAAAGAAAATGTTTGATACAAATTAATTTCACCGATATAAAAATGATGGGGTGGATTTTCTTTTTATTTTTGAAAGTTATAAAAAAAAAGGACTTCATTGCTAGAAATACAAAAAAATAAATAAATTAAAAATTCAATTAATATCTTCTTGAACCACCAGTCACCACCAAACAAAGCCAACCACCATAATCACCTGTGTCTATGATGCTTTACACGGATACGAATGTATATTTACAATGTTTTAAAAAAAAATATGATATAAAAATAAGATGAGTCAGAAAGATTGAAAAATAGGACCATCTGATTGAATTCGTTCTCAATAAAGTGAAAGAAAAAAAAAAATTATTAGACGAGACAAATTATTATATTTGTAATTGGTAATGAATACAAGAAAAAAACTGTAATGACCGGAATTTAGGTAATATCAAACCAATCTATCTATTATATAATTAGGCTACACACTTGCCATTTTTAGAAAGTTTTATGTGGGTCCTACCACACTCTTATTATTTTTGAAAAATTCTCACATTCTTTTACACGTGTTATCACACGGTTTGTAAGTTATGTTACACGTTAAAAATACACCCCAAAAAACATGAAAGTAAAGTTAAAGTATTAAATTAATCAATTATGCAATATGCAATATATGTAATAAATATTAGATTACATAATATAAAGAGTATTTCGTAAATACCTTTTGTATTTATTGGTAATATCGCGATAACATAAAAATATGATTAATGTTAAATGGTAGGCAATTAATTATTTTAGACTTATAAATTTATGTTCATAAAATATTTTATTTTTTAATACCTAAATTAGTCAAACATACTTAACAACACTAAACAAAATCCAAAATAAAATACGATCATAAGATTTTTATTTTTAAAAATATAAGTATTAACAACAGTCTAACATATGGAAGTTAAAAATACACCCCTAAAACCATGAAAGTCAATTTGAAAATTAAAGTCATATAGAAGTTAACACACGTTTTTAAGTTTTGTTAGATGTTAAAAATACACCCTAAAACCATGAAAGTGTTAGAAGTTAACACACGTTTTTAAGTTGGAAGTTAAAAATACACCTCTAAAACCATGGAAGTTAGTTTGGAAATTAAAGTCAGATAGAAGTTAACACACGTTTTAAGTTTTGTTAGATGTTAAAAATACACCCTAAAACCATGAAAGTGTTAGAAGTTAACACACGTTTTAAGTTTTGTTAGATGTTAAAAATACACCCTAAAACCATGAAAATGTTAGATGTTAAAATTACACCTTAAAAGCATGAAAGTCAGTTTAAAAGTTAAAGGCAGATAGAAGTTAACACACATTTGTAGGTTACATTGTTAGTGGCTTGAATAATGCAAATCATTTTTCATTTAGTAAGATATATATATATATATATATATATATGTTGTAGTTTATAAATACGCAATTGATTATTCATTTATGTATCATCACATTCACATCTCTCTCACATTTTATTCAAACAATTGTTTACACACTTCTAAAGAAGGTATAAAAAACAGAATGGAGTGTCAAAGTCCGTGTGATGCGATATTATGAAATGACTACTTTCAAGATCGAAATACCGTTATCTAAAATTGATAAAACTACTATGGCAAGATTGAAGATAAATTTTATGGTGAAACTTCAAATAAAAATTTCCCGAAGTTTATATATAACTTCAAAAATTTTACCGATATGGCTAAAGGCTCCATTTGTAAGGACTTATTATTGATCGGTAATTATATATCTTATGCATATAAAAAATAAAATATATATTTTAGTTATTGAGGATTAATTTATATGAATGTCATACCTGAAGAACTCTGTATTTACGCATGACCAACTTTACGTTGCTGTTTCACGAGTTACAAATGAGAAATGATAGAAAATATTAATTTGTGATGATAAAAACAGCTCAAAACTTTAT